GCATGCTCGAATTTCCCACGAAAACCTACCCGTACCACTCAAATTAGAAAACATTATTATAAGCTAACCGTTGTGAATCGGGCTAAAGTAAGGCGATAGTTTTGAACACTGGCTGGTTATTTACTTGCTCAAATATTGATTTCGGATCATTTTTAACCAAAAAAAGTTACGGACTGCAGCTTTAAATACAAAGTAGTATTTTGTATTTCAAATACATGTTTTTGAAATACTACCCATCTCTGGACTCCCAGCCCTAATAAAAAAATAAAACTGTGTTTTTGCCTGCAGTGTCTTGCCTTAACGTATTTGGGGTTATAGATGGGCAGGAACTTGAAGGGGTTGACGACGATCAGGATCCCGCCGACGTACGTGTAAATTTTCTCCTGCCGAAAGCGTCCGCGCAAGTTCTCCAGCAAAGTCCGCTCGTTTAGATCGGGCAGCGCGCAGAGATCGTCGACGTACGGAGGCTGCGGGAGGAGTCCGCGCTCCACCATCCGTCGCCGCTCCTCAGTTACACGAAGCCACATCTGCAGGTTTCCGTAGCGGATGGATCCGTCCAGATCCTTCTCGCGCAGCAGAAAGCGGTAATCCTCTCCGGCCAGACGGTTCTCCAGCGCCATGCGCGGCCACAGCATCATGCGCTGCACGGGACAGTCGCAGGGGTTCAAGATCCATTCCTCGCCGCCGAACTCCTTGACCTCGGCAAGCACGTAGAGGCGTGCGCGGTCCAGCTGCAGCCGCTCGATGACGCGCTCGATGACCTCCGCCGCCGACGTCACCTTCCGCGCCGAGACGGGGCAGTAGATGGTGCCCTCAGACAGAGCGCCGGGATACACGCGCAACGTGAACTCAGAGTCCTCGGAACGCCGGCGCCCTCCGGCATCATGGCAGCTCATGATGCTGCAGCAGCTCCCATCGGCACCAGAGTCACCCGACAGATTCACGACATCCCACCTGCGGACAGACAAACACAAGCGGCAGTCAGAACGCACTTACGGTCCAGGGTGGCTATCGGTAACAAATAGGTTTGCAAAAAGGTGGAAAATCCAGAAATTTTGGAAACTTTCCAGGATTTTTTGTAATATTTCAGGGATTTTTGGAAAGTTTCTGGAAATTTACCGGAAATTTTCCACCCCTTTGCAACCCTAGTAACAAACTAAAACTATTAAAAAAGAAGGTAAATAAACTAAAATAATAAACTAAAATAATAAAAAATAAAGGGACAGACAAACACAAGTGGCAGTCAGAACGCACTTTTGGTCCTGTGTGGCTATCGGTAGCAAAGTAAAACTATTAAAAAAGAAGGTAAATTAAAAAAAATTATAATAATAATAATAAAAAATAAAATAAACAATAATAACACAAAATTAAAAATGAAATAAAATATAAACTGGCTAATTCTTATCTTTATAAACACATACAAATGTGATTAGATGTTGGATTGAGTTGTCAAAGATAAATGCATTCTTATGTTGACTGGAAAAGTCAGTTATATTAACACTCGAAATGAGCGATCAGCTATGCAGTGATTCACTGGAAGCAGTATAATATACACTTAATATAAATATAAATTACACACACACATATACACACACACACACACACACAAAGAAAAACAAACACGCTTATTAAAACCAAACACAAAATAAAAGAGCAGGAAAAAGGAAGGAAGCGAGCAGAGGTGTTGAAGCAGGTTAAAAACAGCCGGGCAAATATATAATGCATAAAGAACAGATGGAAGAAAGAGAGAGAGAGACAGATTTAAGCAGAAAAAGCAGTAGCTCTGTTCACAAACCTAATGCTTCCTTCATAATGAATGCAATCCCACAATGCAATGCACTTTATGGGAATTGCTGCCTAGGGCACTTCAAACCAGTCGCTTACGAGCTTGTATTTCAGTCAGGATGCTGACTTAGAAGACAGTTGCCTATCCAGGGAGTATGCAGCAAGACAGCACACTAGGTATTGGGACAGAGCCACTTCCAGAAGTTCACATCTGCTCTATTAACACACTTCTGTCTGTTACTAAACGAAACGCCTGATCCTCCTTAAACACGTGACACCACAAACACACGAGAGTTCCCGTCTGTGTCTCTCTGACTGCTGACAGGTCTGGGTAATACTGAATAATAACAAAATATTTAATATTTAATATTAGAAGAAATCTTTATTTATATTACATGTATACTATATTTTTATGTGTTTATATTAAGGCTTTATTACATTTATTAATTAATATATTTTATATATTTTTTGTATTTTGACGAATCGTGCAAAATAACTCATTTTTGATTTACTATTAATTAAAATAAAACTAAATAGTTGATTTAATTTTTTATATTATATGACATTATTAAAAAAAACAAAGCAGCTCTACAGAAAATTAAAGTTTCTACATTATAATTGAAGAATTAATATAACATAATATTTTAGATTTTGTTTTATTTTGATTAACTGTATAGAAAAAAATATATAAAATTGTGAACAATTAATCAAAATAGAACACATATTATTTTATTATTTATGATATTTTATAATTTGTTCTCTATTTTGATTCACAATAATTGTAATTTATCCAAAGTCTAAATAAACGAGTACTGGAAAAAGTGGTATCGGTGCATCCCTAATAAATAAATAGGCCTAAATAATTCATTTTATTTTATTTGACCAAATAAAGCGGGTTGAGTCTGCTGAAGCTGTCATCCAATCCTCACATCATCCCAAAACCACCTCAGGTGTTTCAAGCCTCCATAATGACACAATCATCCCGTCACTTTCTAGATCGGCAGCTCGTCTGCTGATACGTCAGATAATACACGACACAATCAGCTCTGCGGCGGCTCGGGGTCAGAGGTCAGAGGTCAGCTGGAGGAGCTGTGGGGGCATATTTGCTCAGGCCTCGACAGGCTACAGCGTGGCATCAGCTCACAGACACAAACGCAGACAAACAGACACGCAGAGTCACGCATGACCCCCAAAAACAACAAGAACCGCATTTGACCGACACTTCTGCATGCTTCTGGTGTTTCTGATAAGAGATAATAACATCCTCCATTAAAGGGAGACACCGCCTCATCAAACTACAAATCATGCAAACACACAGCAACCAGACGAAGAGTGGGAACACTGGGCCAATCCCGTCTCTAAGAGAGCATCACTTGCCCTACTTACTATGAAGGGCACTTGAAGTACGCACTGTGAAGGGTGCAGGACGTCACGGTCTCGTGTGCACGCTTTATAAAAACATACATGCCATGCAACTTCACTCTGAATCAGAACAACGCCTTAAAGACACTTTATAACTAAAACTAAATGTTTTAAAATATTTTTGTTAAAGCTGAAATCAAATATTAACATTAGATGAAAAACGTTTTGAAAAAAAAACGAAACAAGTTGAAGCACTAAAATTATAAAATTATAAATTAACTGAATTAATTAGAAATTATTACACTTTTTATTATTATAAAATAATTGGAAACAAATAATTAAAACAGAACTAAAACCAAACTTATCCAAAGTCTAAATAAAAAAGTAAAATAAATAAATAAACAAACAAACAAACAAATAAATTAATTAATACCATTTACACTGTACGAGAAAGATAATAAAAATGATAAAGATAAAACATTTTTACTAAATTAAATATTTGTCTCTAATAATATTATCTGGTATCTATTTACTTTATTATAAATTAATCTGTGTTTATCATTTGGATGCATTTAAAAAAGCATAAAAATGAATTAATCTCGTGATTTCTAATTGTGCCAAGTTATGTTTTTAATTGTGCTAAAATGTATTGCGAAACAAGTTGAAGCACTAAAATTATAAAATTATAAATTAACTGAATTAATTAGAAATTATTACACTTTTTATTATTATAAAATAATTGGAAACAAATAATTAAAACAGAACTAAAACCAAACTAGTTAATTGAAATAAAGCTGAAATAAAATAAAATATAAATATTAGAAGAAAAACTAGAAATGTTACCTTGGTAACTAACTGAAGCGTTAAAGTTATGGGAAGTAACTGGAAATAAACAAAAAATAAATCTGAACTAAAACCAAAACTGAAAAAAAAAAAAACATAACAAATAAATAAAAAAGTAAATAAAAATCACAAAAGTACAAAACAAGATGACTAAAAATTAAACAAAATAAAATGAAAATAAAAAAATAAATAAAAATAAATGCTACTTCAAAATAGTAATTAAATGTATAATATTTATGTAGTATGTAAAGTCTTTCCATGTGGCATCTATTAAAAAGACAACAGAATCAGGTTTAAGTTGAAGCACTAAAATTACTAACTGGAAATAAATACTAAAGATTAAAACTGAAAAACATTTTTGTTAATTAAAATAAAGCTCAAATAAAACAAAACATGAATATAAGAAAAAAAAAAGAATCTTGATAAGAAATGTTACCTTGGCAACTAAGTACTAAAATTACTAACTATAAAAATGAACTAAACTGAACTAAAACTAAAATAAAAACACATTAAACCTAAATAATTATTTTTAAAACAAAGATAAATAAAATTAAAAAAAAGACAAGAATCACATAAAATTACTGAAAAATAAACTAAAATTAAAAATAAATATATAAAAAAACAAGCTACTTCAGAATTATTACATAAATAATACTAAAATAACACTGACTTGCACAGATTTTCTTAAAAATGTACAAACATCGTAAGTGTGCAACATACTTTCAAATGAGAGACTGTAAGTTTACGAGAGCAAACAAGCATTTTGAAATCCCACAGAAGACCCTCAAACTGAATGAGGAACCAGGAATGAATTATTGGCCATCATATCTACAGTAAAACTCCAGTCCAGCATCCTCTGAGAAACGTCATTCCTAAACGACACCGGACTCCCGCGATCCTGCCTGTCAAGTTACCAAACGCAAAGATTTCTAGCTGAAATATCCTCCTTATGAACATGATGCTCAGAAAACCACCAACACTGCAGCTCAGAGCTCATAACACACACTGTAAAAAACGAAACCTTTTGAGTCTCAAATACTAAAAAAATGCTATTTTCTTGAAACTAGTGCTGTCAAACGATTAATAGCATCCAAAATAAAAGTTTGTTTACATAATATATGAGTGTGTACTGTGTATATTTATTATGTGTATATATATACACACACACACACATGCATGTATATATACATATATATATATATAAGAAAAATATGCTATGCTTACATATTAAATATATTTATACCTTTTATTTTGGATGCGATTAATCGCGATTAATCGTTTGACAGCACTTATAAAAACCCTTGTCAGGCCAACAAAATTACCCCAAATGTTGTCCCAACTAGTCAAACACAGTTGTCTGAACAAAGAATTTCACATTGTTGAAATGTTAAGGCTTTGTGAGTTCCCAGCATGCACTGCAGCATGAATAAATTACGCAGTTTCTGCTATAGGATTATTGTTTTGCTGTTTGTTGTTTTATCACTATTGTTAGTTATTTGTTGTACTGTGATGTAAAGAGCTCATCAGAGAAAAATAAATGACCTCAATGACAGCAATTGTTTCAGTTGCTGTGACAAGAATCTTTCTATTAGCAAAAGAAGACAATTTACATTGGCTAAACAAAGTATCTTTACTGAGAAGAACTAAGAAGCTATTGTTAAGAGAACTAAAGTCTCACTGCATCAAGCTGCCTTATTTTTTTACGTTTTCTCAACTATTTACTTGTTACAGTGCACAGACTCACCCGGTGACCTGCAGAGTAACGACAGGCATGAACGAGAACCACGCAGACTCAACTCCGGAACTAAACTAGATCCTCCTCGCTCAGTCCTGAACGACCCATCATCATCATCATCATCATCATCATCCCAGCGTCTGGGACGTCAAACTCTGACATTCCAGTCAGCCGGGTTTGATCCTTATAAGGTGAAGAAGCTCGAGTCCGGGAGAGAAACACAGGACCCAACGGACCTTAAATAGGAGGGATGCTCGTCTGAACGCGGGAAGGGGATCTGCTCGCGTCCCTAATGCTGTCTGCCGCTCCTACAGACGAGCGTGTGTGTGTGTGTGTGTGTGTGTGTGGCAGCTGTGTCTGAGAGGGGGAGGAGGAAATGCACCGAGGGGGAGGGGAGAGAGAGAGAGGCTTGTTATTTCCTGAAACATGAGAGAGACAGAGAGAGAGACACACACAGACAGAGAGAGAGAGAGAGAGAGAGAGAGAGAGACA